AGTATGGAGATTCCTCAGAAAACTAAGATTGGAAGTTCCATTCAATCCAGCTATTCCTCTCCTAGGTATTTTCCCAGAAAAATTGAAAATGTCATGTTACAGTGATATATGTGCGCCCATGTTTATAACAGCACAATTTGTAATAGCTAAATCTTGGAAACAACCAAAATACCCACCAATTGCAGAATAGATAAAAAAGATGTGATATTTTTATATAATGGAATGTTAGTCAGCTATAATAAAGGATGATCTTGGGGCTTTTATAGGTAAATAGAGGCAACTTGAGATTATCCTCATAAGTGAAATACATCAGACTCACATTTGTAAATATTATATTGTCTCTCTAATGTAAAAAATAAATAATAATAATAATAAACTGAAAGAATAATAAGATCTAAAGAATATAATAGATATTATAATAATAAAAAGAGGAAACGGTCCTCAAAGGAAAGAACAACTTGTAGGTATACACATATAACTGTATGCATCTTTAAGTGTGCAAGATAGATAACCATAATACTGTTTTTATAGTTCATCAAACAAAATAGTTTGTGCTGTCATTGTCCGTTCAGTTTTTGTGCTTTGATTTTGTAACTTGAACAACTACTTCTAAGATTATATGTAATATATCAACTAGAGATGATTTCTTAATGTAATTTTTAAAATTCTGTATCATTTCTACCCATTTTTCTGTTTTGCTTTTATTTAGATAAAAAACTTATATATTCCCATTAACAGTGGAGAAGGGTTCCTTTCCCCCTACATACCTTCAGCATTTATTACTGGTTGATTTCCTGATAATAGCCCTTCTTTCTGGAGTGAGATGGAAATGATTTGCATTTCATGTATGAGCAGTGATAGTGAAAAATTTTTCATATATTTATTTGCTGCTTTGTATTTTTCATCTGGGAAGTGTCTATTCATTTGAGATGCCCATTTTGGGGTTGAATCTTTAAATTTTGGTGATCTACCCCAAAATTCAAAGACTCAATCCAAAAATGGGCACCTGACATGAACACACAGTTCTCAGATGAAAAAATACTAATGGCAAATAAATACATGAAAAAATGTTCTGCATCATTGGTCATTAGAGAAATGCAAATTAAAACCACACTGAGATTCCATCTCACTCCAGAAAGAATGGCCAGGATAAATAAAACTACCAACAAGAAATGCTGGAGAGGCTGTGGGGAAAAAGGAACTCTCCTGCACTGTTGGTGGGAGTGTAGACTGGTACAGCTCTGTGGAGGTCAGATTCAGGTACCTCTGAAACACCCCACCTACCACTGCATGAGGCTTTGTGGGAACATCTAGATACAAGCAGTAATCATTGCTTTTGATTTCTTCCACTTCAATGCCACTTGGATTTGCCTTGGGAGTTGAGAGTGTTGGGTTACATCTTGATTTCATGTTTCCTCATTTTCTATTTTTTTAAATTTGTTTCCTGCATCAAGGCTAGTAAAATGCTTATGGGGCACTAGCTTTATTACCACTATTGTGACCATTTAAGGAAATGACTGCTTTTCAGAGATATCTTCTAGGTGTAGCTGGCTTTTGGCCTTTGGACCTGTTTCTGGATCCTATCTTTTCTGTTTATTAGGTGCAGCTGTTTGGTCTAACTCCCAGTTCTTTGCTACTGGGATAGAGCGTTGTTTATGATCCCTAGACAGCCTACATATTGGCATGTCTTAGTTCCTTTTCTCTCATAGTTGGAACAAAACATCTGATGCCAAATTAAAGAAGGAAAGGTTTATTTAACTCACTACTTTAGAGGTTTCAGTCCACAGTCAGTTAGCTCCAAGGCAGAGCAGTGTGGCACATGGAAACCATTCATGACAGGGAAAACAGTAAAAACAACGATAAGATAAAAGCAGCAAGCCTCCTCTTCTCATCATACTGTATGCAGGCTACCACCCTAGGCAAGTGTAGCACTCTCACTGCCTAGACACTTAGCACTAGATAATGATCCAATCACAAACTCTAGATTAGGGACCTCTGAAAAGCCCATCCTATGACCCATGAAGCTTTGGGGGGACATCCAGACAGAAACCACAAGAGAATAGAAGGAAGATCAACTCATCACAATTGGACAAATGTGGTACAATCAGTAATAGCAATAGCATCAAACATAGGCTGGAAAATGGCAAATTGTGATGACTAATGATTGCTATCTTTAACCCTACATACAAAATTTATAGTTATAAACAAGATATAAGGCAAATTATAAAATTTTATATGGTCAATGCCCAATCAATAGGGCAATTTTACCCCAAGGGGAAAAATTTAAGGGGGAAAAGAGGATAAAATCGAGAATTGAAAAGAAAAAGACTTGGCTGGGGATTTAGTGATATAAGTGCCTGCCTGGCAAGTGCAAGGTCTTAAGTTTGATCCCCAGTACAAAAAAAAAAAAAAAAGAACAGAAAAGAAAAGAAAGACTAGAAATAAAGATGAAGGACAAAGAAATGTTACTCAAGCCTCAGGAAACTGTTGAAGAAAACAAGAAAGAAATAAAGAAGGAGAAAATAAAAACAAGAACAAAATCAAATCAAGACAAGAAAACCCCTAAAAATAGTGTTCACACACACATACACATACAAATCAAGAACAAGCAAACATAAAACCAAAGAAAAATATTTTAAAGTCCAAATGCAAAGCAAAAGCAAAATGCAAAACAAAACAACCAAGAAAGCTCCCCTGTGTTCAAACCTGTGCTTCTTCTTTTGAGATCTACAGCTTTGGGGCAGTGCCCAATTTACAGCATGACTGTGTTCTTGATGGTAGATAAGGGAGACAGGCAGAACCCTGATTTGTGCTGGATACCCCCAAATGCTGACTATACGATTAGGGTGGAGGGCAGGTTCTGAGACCTTCAGTTTCACAGAAATTCAGGTTGAACCTGGCCTCTGCTCATGGGGTGAATTCAGAGTCATTTAGCTTGTAACACTCTAATGTCTCTTGCAGGCTTGACCATAGCTCCCTGATCATAGATTTCCCTGGTAGTTGTCGCTCACCCAGTCACTGGGAGTCTGACACTGGGACCTCAGAGATGGAGTCAACTCTCTGTCACTGAGAGTCTCAGGTTCAATTGGTCTCTCTCTCAGGCACTCTCTCCAAATGATATGGCAGATGCTTGGACTGGAGTCACTCACTAGCTGTTGTAAGTACACTGGTGGACCGTAAGGACCTCTGGAGTTGCCTGCTTTGATTGTGTTGCTGTAGATTTGATCTTCCTTTTTCTCACTATAAGCCAGGAGCTGGGGAGAAAGTGAAGATTGCCTCTTCTTTTATCTGTGTTGTGATCTGTCTCTTTAATTTCTCTTAAATTTCCTTCCAGATCTTTCCTGGGTCCCAGGGATCCATCTCCATTCTTCTTTTCATTCCCAAGTTGTTATTTTCCAACGTTTAGATTCCAGTTCTTTGAAAGGTTCATTTGTTATTGCTTACTGCTTTGCCATCTTTCTAGACGTCCTCTCTCTCTCTCCCTTTTCCTATCTCTTCCCCTCCTGCTCTTCCTGCCTCCTGCCCCCACCCTCCTCCATATGTTATCTCATCCTGAACAGTCTCTCCATTTGTTGTTGTTTGAGGGAGTTGAACTATAGCAGAAAATTGCCTCTCCTTGCACCAGTATACTTCAGTATACCGGTATAGTTGCCCAGGTAACCTGCAATTTACTTTAGTTCCTATTACAGTTCCTGTTACTTCTGTTCTCAGAAATGGCTGGTCACTATAATACATATTGTAAGAACCAATCAAAGATAGTCAAGTACTCTGCTTTTGTACTTACATACCCTGTTAAAATGCTAGCTCATCATAGCTCAGGGCCTGACATGTTTTTAGAGGTCAGTGCTCATCAATGTTAAATAGATCTACCCCCAAATCTTGAGTGAAATTTTGGTGTTTCTGTTGGCTGCTGCAATATTTCTTACTTGAACATTAATATCCATGAGGCAGAAGTAGAAACTGTTAAGCCAGCTCGAGGCTATCCTGGATCTCATACTTCTGTCATATTCTACTAGTCAAAGAAGTGGGGTCATCCAAATTCAAGTTAGTGGAGAAATAGATTCTATCTCTTTGTCAGGAGAGGAGCAAGGTTAAATTTCCTAAAAGTGTGTGGGAAAATAGATATTGCCATGGTTCTCTTTGAAAAACACAATCTGCCACAGATTATTCATGTGTAAAGTTCTATATTTCTTTGCTGTTTTTGTTTGTTCAGTTGTTTTGGTGATTGCACATGAGGAAAACATGTACATAGACTTATCATGTTTTAGTAGACATGAATAATTTTGCCTCTTTCTGGCCAACAAGAAAAACATAGAGACTTTCCATTCTTACATATATACTGTTGTTTTCATATATTTAATTCTACATGTAAATCACATCATAAATTGTTTTATATAGTTAGTATTCATTTAGATTTTTTAATATTTACCCTGGATTGTATTTCAATTTTTCCCATATCTTTGGTTTTTCAATTGAGATTATTTTATTTTGTGATCTTTAGTATGTTTTATAATATGTGTCCACTGGTAACAAAATCTGTTTTTTTATATATCCCTATTTCATATACAGTAAAACCTTGACTTGAGAGCATAATTTGTTCTGGAAACATGCTTGCAATCCAAAGTACTTGCATATCAAAACAAATTTCCCCATAAGAAGTAATGAAAACTCACATTATTCATTCTACAACCCCCAAATAGTAATATAGATATGATTGCAATACTATTATGTAAGATAATAAATAAAATATAAAATGTACAGAAAAATAAGCCAATTAACCTGTATTTGCCTTTGAAAACTTTCGTGGATGGTGTGAGGGAGCCAAGAGAGAAAAGGGTTATTGTGTAGGACAATCCAGGGGCATTTGCTTAGGCCTCCTTTGAGGATTTTGTGGAAATTAGTGCATTTTTGTTAAAGAGATTTATCACTAACCCTGCTACAGTCTTATTTAGGTGGTGATTTTCTACAAAATATTGCATTGTTTCTCACATTTTACATACCTCCATAATCTCATTTGAAGTGAGAGGCTTCTCTGTTTTTTTTTTTTTTTTTTAATTCTTCCTCTATAGATGAGATCTCCTCCACAACCCTTGCTGTTGGGAGACAGTCACCCACATTCCTGCAGCAACAGGGAAGGAGAAAGATGAAAAGATGAGGAGAGGCCGAAAGAAGTGAACCGCTGGCTAATGGTCATCATATGATGTTCAGCGTCACATACTACTTGTATTGCAAAGCATCACTTGCTTGTCAGGTCAAATTTATTGGAAATACTTGCTTGTCTTTCAGATCACGCACAGAACAAGTTATAATCCAAGGTATGTATGTATATATACATATACACACATACATATAAAGGTATGTATATATACTTATAACTTGTATTATTGAAAGATTTTTCTGAATGTAGATTGCTCTTGTGTAGATATTTTCTTTGAAGATATTATTCTCTTGTTTTTTGACTCTCTTGTGGCTGGAGTTAACTGATGTGAACTTAGTGATTGCTTCTTTGAAGATCCTTTGGGTGCTTTCATGATTATTTTGTTTTCTTGTTTGCCTTAACAGCTTTATTATGATATGCCTTGTGACTTTCTATTGGACTGTTTTGCTTGACATCTCTAAGGTCTCTTAAAAAGAAAACTTGATAATTTTCATTGTTTTTTGGAAAAATTTCATGATCTCTTTAAATATTGCTCATTCTCTTCTTCTAGTACTTCCATTACACGTATGTTAGACTTTTTCCATTGAACATCCATTTCTGCTATAATCTTTCTTTATATTTTCCTTTTTTGTTTCTGTATTTCATTTTGATTATATTCTTCTTCTAGTTCATGAATTCTTTCATCTTATCTAAACGCAATGAATTTTTATTTTAATTATTTTTTCATAATACTATACTTTATGATTTGCTTTTATAAAATGTAGTGTTCAGTTCCAAGTGGATCTGCTTGTAATGTCTGTTGCTGTTCTTGGTGTTAAATTAAATGGTCCTGTCAATTCATGTGCCTTTTAAAAAAAACTATCTACTCATCAGTATGTATGTAAAGATATAGAATAATTTGAAGCATAAAAGGATTTACATTTATTTTTGGTAAACAGCAAGGGACATGATTATCCAGATCACTTTAATTTTAATATCAAGATTGAGATTATTTAAAGATAGCATTCAATCCAAGAGATGGTCAGATTGTTTTAACCCACCTTTATACCTTAAGTGTACCTCTTAGGGGTTCTTATCAAAACTATGGTCATTTATCCTTTGTAGTGGATCCTGGACTCTTATTTTTATTCCTCTGATGAAGTTGGCAGTCAGTGTTTAATCTGTCAGTCTCTCAAATGACTTCCTTTAATTACCAATGCTATTATGGGAAAATAATATTTATGTGCTAGGCTTATCTTTCTGGTCTTTCTTTTTTCTATATTTTTGTTCCACAATTTTTCACTGTCTTGATAGTTCCCTTGTGCTTTCAATATTCCTCAGTCTGAGAGATGTACCACATCAGCCAGCCTACCATTAACAGAGGCAAATGTTCTACTTTCAAAGTATTCAAACTAATTATTACAAAGAAAAAGACTATTTATGATGCTGACAGTCAAGTAATTAGCTATGTTTGAAGAACACAGTTTACCTTGATGTGCTTTAAAAATTATTGTCTCAATATCCAGTCACTAAGACAAAATATTCAATACTCACAATTTAGAGGTTTGTTTTGACTCAAAGTTTTAGTCCACAGGTGGCTGGCTTCAGGTCAGAAAAAGGATGGCAGATGAATGTGGCCAAGGAACAGGGGTTCAACCCATGGCAGTAAGGAGACAGAGAGAGAAGGAAGGAGCTCATTAAAAGAACACACCCTTCTAGAATAGTTCCCCAGTGAACTACCTTCAAGCAAGCCCCGCCTCCTAACAGCAAGCTTGCTATGGCACACCCATAGTCCAATCACCTTCCCAAAGTCTCACTTCTGAATACATCATACTTTGGGGTCATGTTTATATGTAAACTTAACAATGGTATATTTACTTCTGTGGGCAACATGACTATGAGTGAGTCATAGTTTTTCCCATATATAACTTAGTTTTCCAGAAATAATTTATCTGTTACTCAAACCAGAGTACAAGACCATAGTACAAGAGAAAAGTGTGGAGTTCGTTAGAGACAAGCAGTATGAACCAAGGAAGCAACAAGAATAATAACAAAAACCCACTGGAAGACTCATAAATACTTGAAAATGTGGTATATTGTGAGATTTCATCCCAAATCAATGTAGAAGCACAGATAGGTAAGTAATTTATGCTGGTACAAAATGGCTTTCACATGAAAAAATAAAATTGATATTCCACATAGAGTGCAGTAAAAAATTGAATTAAAAAATAAAATGTAAAGTTTGCGGGGAAAATGGGGGAGAACATCTTTGTGATTTTGTATAATGATTTATTAAAGAAGACTCAAAATGCATAAATCATTTAAAAATGTGCTTACATCAATATTGAAGATTTCTGAACAATGAAGAAAGGTAAACTATAGATAAAGTTGACAGATGATCAACCTTTTGGAAAGAGATATTTATAGCAATTAGAAAGGACAAATGACTATATTATATACAAGCCATGTGTTATTCGAGTCTTTACTCAAATATTCCCACTTTATAGAGGACTTCTCTCACTTTATCCAAAACAACACCCACTTCGTATTCTCTATCCCTTTAACTTTATTTTTACTCATAGCACTTGCCAAAACCCAACATTATATTATATAATTATTTGTTCATGTTCTTTCTCCTAATAAGTTCAAAATCTGTGAGATCAGTGCTTTTTGTTTGTTTTATTCATTTTACCAAATTAGTATCTAGAATGATAACTAATACATGGTAGGTGCACAATAAAAATTTGTTAAATGAATGAATGAATAAGAAAATCCCCATTAGAAAGAGCAGAATCCAGTAGGAAAACATCAATGAACATGATGTGTAGGTACTTCACAAAAAGGACAATCTTAATGGATAATATGAGAATATGCTAATCTCCATTAGAAAATATGTGAATGGAAAGAAGCATGAGATAGCATTTTACACTCAACAGACTGTCAAAAATTCAAAAGCCAGATAATAGAAACAGAAGTGGGGAAATGGAATCCCCTGGTGGGAATATATGCTGGTATAGCCATTCTGAAGGATCATCTGAAAGTATTCAATAAAATTACATGTATGTAATCTATAACCTGTGGGATCCCGCTTCTGGAGTTTCACCCAGACCAACTCTCAAGTTGATCCAAGAGAGGAAATATATGCAGATGTCCATGGAAGTATTGTTGGAGGTAGCGGAAAATAAGAAATACTCTCTGTGCCCTTTAAAAGAGAAGCAGAGCACAATAATAATTACAGCACATGCATGCAATGGAATATTATTCTGTAAGTAGATATAATGAACTATGTATAGCGATGTGGAAAGGCATTTAATTCATTTTTCTAATTAAAATTAATCAATAGAATATTTTAAAATACTTTAAAAGCTTTAAAATACTTGTAAAAACTTTAAAAGTTTATTATATAAAAGCAAGTAGATCAATCAAAGTAGTACAATCAAAGTACTTCTCTGATAAATACAATATTTCCTCTGAGTCTGCGGCTCTTACTGGGAAGACGACATCTCCCAACTCAAATATAAACTTCTTTCTTTAGCAATTTTGGGATCCTAAACCTCCCCTGTCCCAATCAGTTTGTTTACACTTTCTTAAATCTCAGAAGGTACATTTTCATGTACAATTCAGATCAGTATCAGGTTCTGTTTAGTATCTGCTATGGGTAATTATAGAATATCTAGTGCTGCTCCTGGACCTTAACTTGCACCCTAGCTTTGAGATTGGGTGGGATTTACTATAGCAGAGCTTCTCCAGCTAGAAACTTGTTAAAATGCAGATTTTGGTTCAATGAGTCTGGGGAGGATTTGAGACTCTGCATCTCTGACAAGCTGCTAGATGTTGTCAACACCATAGGTCCTCAGACCACAACTTAAGTTCCAAGGCTCCCTAGGAACACCTTATAAAATGCATTATTCTTAAGGTACCTGAAATGTCATCCTGTGCCTGGAACAATTGCAGTTCTTACGCACATTTAGCAAAAGATTGTTTATGAACCACTTAGATATATGATATTATAGGGCTTATACCTGCATTTCCCTGGTGAAAGAAGAGTACAGTGTATTCCTCCAAAGAGTTCCACTGTAGCATGTACAGTGTTAATACTGCCTGTGTTAAGCTCAACAGGAGCTGCCTACATGCATCTCATTCCAACGCCATGTTAGTGACATCATATTGGTAGCTTGAAAAGCAATTAAAATCTGGGGTGATAGTGATAGTATTTACATGACCCAAATTGGCAAATGCTACAATTTGGAGCTCCTTACTCATTCAGAGACTACTGTACCAGCACACAACTCTGACTAGAGTGTTCAGTAGGAAAACTACTATAGAGCACTTCAGTGGCTTAAGCAGCACAGGTGGAAACTTTTGGGAAGTTGGGAGGAAAGTCTAGTTTTATTTTAATTGTTTTTTCTTTTATATCCTTTTCTGTTAATTTTAATGATGAGTTACTTAAATGAAATCCACACTGTGTAGTTAAACAAGAAATAAGGGCAAGTGTTAATTTAATGATGCCCATGAGAAGCGAGAGAAACTGAGGTGGCTAAAGAAAATAAGAGTTGCATAGGTCCTGGCGGTAATATAGAATCTCCCTCTGTGTAAATCCAGGCCTGGACTAGAGAGGAGAACACAGTTCGGCTGAAGGAAGCCATCAGTCTCTGATCATCCCTTTCTATTTCAGCCTAACATATTATCCTAACAAGCTATAGAACTTGTGAGCAGGGGGGATGGCTGAAAGCTATTTTTTTCTCTTATTTTACAATTTATAAAGGTATGGAAAAGAAATATGAGAGCTATTAAATAAGCCAATGTCATGGCATCTTTGTATTGTACTGAATTCTCTCAGTGTTACTGATGAAAATGTTCAGGCTTGGAGAGAGGAACGTGGATGTAGGGGAAATCAACTTTTTAAAAAAAATTTCTATTTCTGAAATTGGACACATGCATTTAAATATCATATTGTTTCTCTGGTTGAGAAACTGAAAGGATAAATAAGGACCAAAACGTGTAGCAGATATTGGGAAACAGGAGGAAAATGCTCAACTAAGAAGAGGAACAAGAGTATGGGAAGGGAAAAAGAAAGAAAGGGAAAAGTAAAAAAGAATAGAAGGGGAAAAATTAAAATAAATAAGGAAGGAAAAAGTTGAAGGGAGGGGAGAGGGTTGGGAAAAATAGAAGAATCAAGTTATATTATGTATAGGTATAAATTCCCTATGATGAATGTAATCATTATATATATCTAAAATGTACCATTAAAACTAATTTTAAAGACTTTTTTCCTTTTATTTTAATTATTTTTTCTTTTATATCCTTTTCTGTTAATTTTAATGATGAGTTAATTAAATGAAATCCACACTGTGTAGTTTAACAGGAAATAAGGGCAATCATCAACTTTTTAAATATCCTCTGTTGGGTATAATGGTCACAGATCATTCCAAACCAATGTCATCTTATCACTGGTGCTTGTATAGAAGGCTTAAAGGAAGCATCCAAAAGCTTAACAACACTAACGCTGGCACTGTCCCATCAAAGCTGAAGTCTGATGGTGTCAGGACTTTCATTCCAAGTTGACCTTTGCAAGAACCAGTCACCTCACATATAACTTCTATGTCATTGAAATTATAGGGGGAAAGAAAGCTGGTTACAATAAATAGAATCTTAAATTTGCTAAAACCTAAACACATGTGCTGTCAAAAACATGGGAGACTATTGAATTACCTGATGCTACCTTAGGACATTGCAATTATGGATGGTAATGTTTTGTAACATTTTCTAAATATTCAAAAAGGAAGATTTAGTATTAAAAAAAAAGCATTCCTTTGGGGAGAGGCATCAGTTTTCCATGTTAAAACTGCTGCTTTCAACAAAACCATGTGGGGCCTCAAATTCACTGGGCAACCCTTCAGAGAGGAGTTAGGGCTTGAAATCTGAGTATTCAATATCATCCTAGAATTTCATATTGGAGAGATGTTTTAAAAGCACCAAGTAGTTTTATTTAACTTCCCATAACTTTACAAAAGGCTCTCAGGGAGAAGATGAATGTGATTGTGTGTGTGTGTGTGTGTGTGTGTGTGTGTGTGTGTGTGTGTGTGCGTGTGTGTGTGTGTGTGTGTGTGTGTGTGTGTTGTGTCTTGTTGAATCACTTTTGGAAGTGAAGGTTTCGTCTTCTCTTCTGTACTTCATCTCCTGGTTCTACTCCTCCTTTTGGTCACTGACATCCCGTACTTGCACAGATACCACACGCCAGCTGGAACCACCTTACAACAAACTTAAATATTGACATCACCTGGCCAAATTCAGAGCCAAAGAAATGAGTTTGCCTGATATATGTATGTCTTGACTTACTTTAGAGCACCACTCCATGGTTCACAAAAAGTCAGTTGTACTTTTTCCATGCTACTTTTCAAAAGCCACAAACCATGACCAAAGGTTAGGGTGTCACAGTTGGTAAGGAAAGACAAGAGAACCACATCATTTGTATATAGAGTTACCTGATCTGGGGAAGATAATGGATTTTGGGTTACATTTGGAAAGTTTGTCATCCTGCTGGGAGGGGATTTAAAGGGAAATTTTCAAAGTGAGGTTCCAAGGTTAAAGAACACATGTGTGTAACACACCAGTAACAACAGCAGACAGCACGGAGCAGAGATGTACAAATGAGCACAAGAGTACAAGAGCGCCAGAGCAAGAGCCACC